AAACCTTTTGAATCAGATCTTGTACTGTCATTGCGGTGAGAGTGCATTGAAAGAGCTGTTTGGATGCATTCATTTTTGGATTAAATCTAGATGCACCATTTTTCAATATCTATCTTAGTAAAGTTCAAACTGTTCAGATAAAAGGTGAAAGTAGAGTTGATCATGTGAATAAACTATTTTTACTAAAAAAAAAAATATATATATATTATTTGTCATGGACAGGGAAACCACTTTTATGTGTATTATCCCGATATGCCATGAGAGGATTTACCGGTATTTTTTATGATTATTTTTTCCACTGTTTCGCTATGTTTGTGTCATAATGAGACAGTGGGTGATATTTGTTTTTTGTAAATATCTCTTTACTTTGTGATTATAAATCATAACATTTAATTGTGCTACAATAAATGTAATTGATATTTCTTAAGTATTAATGAATAGTTATTTCTTTTCACAATAACTGCATTTTGATACTACATAAATAATTAAAAGTACTATCTATTAAAAAAAAAGTTTTTACATGATTCATTTCGTTGTCTATGTCTGAGGGATGGTAAAGTAATAAATCTTGGAATTTATTACTTTACCATCCCAAAATAAAATATTTTGTTATGATGACGATGTTTGACGAAAGGATTGATAGAAAATGTTCTTGTTTGCTGGAATAAAAGTGATCGTGGCAGATTCTCGCCGTTTTCAGCAGTTGAACCTCTTTGCCGATGTTCTGCATTCAACTCCTCCATTTGTGGTCCGTCATATTTCCAGTTTATTGGGATGTAGCAAAAGCTGTACCTACCAAAGCAGCAGACCTCATCACTGTTTTATTTATTACATCTGTAACCTCTCAAGGCAAAATAAGTTGTTTCAAAATGCAACCCCTTAAATGGTAAATACATATGAACTAATTTACAACCCAGCCAGCCTCTTGAAGGCAGAGGTGGACAGCTAACTGAGGCTGGAAAAAAAAAAAAAAGAATAAGACAGACTGAAAATGAAAATACAGATGTCAGTGTTAAAAGAGTAATCATGTGAATAAATGGACAGCAAATTACTGTAGCTAAGCTGAATAAGTAATTTCAGTGTCACACCTCAGCTGGTGCTCAAACATGATGGGTCTACTAAATGGGTCTGTAAATTTAGCCTGAAAAGTAATTAAACATAGGCTCTTTCTAGAATAAGAATATTGAAGAAATTCTAATTATGCCTCATTGGAAAATTTCTCCAGCCAGGAAATAAAGCTATTATCAAGTCCTGAATTACATGAAACCAAAAGAGCAATTTGTAACGAGATATTAGCCTCTTTTGAATCTTATAAAAGAGAGAATCCCTTTTGCCCAGCGCTCATCTCCCTCGGTCTGTCAAAGCCCAGCTTAAGTTCCTCAGTGGAGAGTGATGGAAAGGACAAAATTGGCTGCTTTTGGGACAATGACTTATTTGAAATTCAAACAACTCTCTCCACAGACAGCGCCTTTGAGAGGATGGGAGACAAGAGGAATCTCTTTCATCCGACTAAATGACTTAGAGGTGGGTCTGAGCCCTGACATTAAACAACAACAGCCGTAAAACTGGCACACTCAAAGAGCTGTAATGTAGACAGTTGTGCGAGTTTGTGTTTGAAAAAACAATATGCTTATACTGATGCTCTACGGGGCACTATGCAGCACAAACAGCGGTTGCATGTGTTTTTACTTTGCAATATGAAACATGCCAATGCACCCAGTACTGTAGAGTCAACAGAAGGCTGAATCTTATGATAAACTCAATAAAGTAAAATTAATTGTCACCAAGACAATCTTTTGTTTTTCACATCGTTGCATGTTTGACACAAATGATTCACAACAGGCACAACACAACAGCAATAAACAACACCATACATCCAATGTTGTACATAAAACAGTTGTGATCTTATTTAAAGGGGTCTGTCGTTAAGGGATGTAATTATGTAATGAATCAGGTTTCTTCCATATGGGCCACTGTCCTGTACCTACATCCTGCGGGCAGTGTGGCTAGATGTTCATTAAGTAGGTGTGGGAGTTCCTGTTCTATTGAAATGACCTTGCCTTGTGGCGTTGTTATTAAGTACAGTGGGGTTGGGCGTGGGAAGACATTATTTTTGCAGCAGTCGTGGTCGCCTTTGTGAGCTTGGTTGGTTTTTAACAAGAGATCATGTGGAAAAACCACGGCAAGCTCTTTCAATTTACTGATGTTCAATAGGCACTGATCAAATGCAGGTGAGCTGTCTTATGCTACTCCAAGGTGGGTGGCAGACCAGTTCAGCACTAGGAACCAAACAATAATTTCAAAATTAGCTTCATGACACATTGCTTGCTGGAACAGTTTTTGTCTTAGTCCTTAGTTCTTAGTCTTAGTCCCTAAGTCATTTGTGAAACACCAGAGTCTATTTTTACAAGTCTCCTCTGTCCTCCTGCATATTGAATGGGGTCCATTTGCACAGGAACAGCTTTTTAATGCATCTTCAGTTTTTATTTTAAAAAAGTGTTTTTCTATCAGATAATTTTTTTTACAAAGTCCATTGCAATGTGGAACTTTTATGCAATAACAACAATTTCTACTTCACCCATGAAGTTATTAACAGCTACCAATAACACATCAAATGTTCATTTTTATGACAAAAGAAATATTACATGTTTGCTACACTGCAAAAGCAAAGAAACTTTTCAATTGCTACAGAGGGAAATATGCAGAAACTTGGTGAGTTTGGATGGTGTTTTCGAGCAGCTTGGCCTAATCCCCCATCTTCTTCCTCCCAACAGACAGCAAAGAAAATTAATCTGAAATCTCATGTGCTCAAAGGCGCTTGCAGCTGAGACTGCGTTCTCTTCTCACATCGCCTGTGGCACTTTTGAAAACATTCATAATCTCTATGCTCCCATCACCATGTGCATCTGAACTCACCATGATCAGAAAGAGAACCCCCCAAAGAACTTACACACACACACACACACGCAGACATAAATACATCACCATCCCAAAAAAGGAGCATTACAGTTCTGGAATCTCAGTACTATCCCCTTTGCTATTCTGATAATACAAGAGTCCTTGGCAAGTTTTTCATTTTCAATCTCAGAGCTCAGCACTGGAAATGCCATGAAATAGACCCCCAAGCTCGACCCCTGGTGTGATATGGAATAACCTGCAGAGAACATCAACTGTCGAATTTGATGTTCAATGGAGCTTTTTAGTGCCGCATTTTAAGAAAAGAGGCATGTAAGTGAAAATGTGAACCAAAATGCTTTCCAGCTGCATGCGTTCGCTGCCAATATGCAAAAGATCCACACCAGCAATGACACAGTTGGACACAATCAGAAACATGCGAAATGGACACACACATGGAACTGGACGAGGAAGCCCAGCGGGCTGCAGGATAATGGAAGAAGACTGTGTAAATCCCATACGTGCTTAATCCAGACACTTATAAGAGAGTGTGATTCATACTCTATTACACTCAACTAATACAGCTGAGACACGCACAGGGCACAATTATTTCAGCTGCTATGACCTGACAAAATAAGTGCCATGAATTCCATTTATGAGGACTTTACTAAGAAGGTGTGAAAGGTCAAAAATAAACCCTTTTTACCTATTAGCCACTAAATTGCTGGTTGCTTCCAGTCACATCTGCACTTTGCTTGTGTGTCACTTTGAAGGGTATTTGTCAGGTAATGGAGCAAGGTTATTACTGAATTGCAGAGTTTTTAGGATGTTATCTGGTAATTATTACACACAGTGCATTATCTGCAAATACACCTGGTAACATAAGTATTGTTAAGCCAGTATTTGTGTTGGAAATGCTTTGGTCAGGATTTGTTTTGGTCCTTTCTTGTGATTTTGTTTGGGATGAATACATCTTCTAGAAATTATAGCATGTTTAAGAGGGAAAAAAAAATACTTTCATTTGGAACCAAAAGATGAATAAAAAAAAACCCAGAGAAGAAATGAAAATTAAAATTCTTTACGCTTGGAAGAAGTCTACGAAATGAGACTTTTTACTTAATTTTATTTTTTAATATTGTGTTGACCTCTTCTATTTGGAAAGCAGACCTACTCAAAATTTTGGAAACAGCAGGGACCAACCGTTCCAACCAATTTAATGCCAAACACAAAATCTGTAATTTAATAATTATAGCAACATATTTCACTGCTCAATGCACTGCTTATCTGATTTGGATTTTATTATTTAAACTAGAATATGTTACTGTTATTGTGTGGGATGTCCTGATGATCCAATGTCTAACGACACTTTAAATTTCAGATTATTGTTTTATTTTTATTCAAATAAAAATAAAACATAGTTTTGTGAGTTCAGCTTTTAAAACACAGTCAACCTTCAGACTGATTGAGGATAAAACGTCAGAAATCTGATGGAAGCCATTAAAGCTGCTCTTGGCATCTTCACAAATGTGCTCCAATAAACAATTCCTACTTTGAGATAAAATGGGTCATGCACAAAAAAGAAACACTGAACTCCCTACATTGCTCATGGCAGGTTAAACCCCCTGCTGGTTTCTCTGCTCTGCGCGAACAAGTCAGAAACAGAGATGGTCATATCAGTTCTCACCCTCAACTGCTCTTCACCTGGGTATTTCTGCATGCTTCAGTGTTTATCTCGCTCTCTCTCGTTCTATATCTCCATTGCTCCCTCTCTCTCTTTCATTCTCTCTCTCCATGTAAGATTTAAGGATAAGCTATGGATAATAATAGCCTCACATCATCTATCACCAGATGAAAGGCTTTACAGATTTTTAAAGGCATGTGTGTTTTTGTCTGGACTGCAATACCCCTGTTGTGAAAATAGAGAACACACCAGAAAACACAAACAGTAAAATTGGGGGACTGGCGCTTTGTTCCAGTGACAAGCACACATGAAAAAGAAAGGATTATTTTGTCAGTTTATCTGCCAACACAAGCCTACATTAAAACAGGGAATGCTCTGCGCCTCTCATGTGGGTGTCAATGTGTGTTGCGAGTCCTCAACTCACCTTTCTTGTCCCCAAAAAAAAGGGTCTGCTGTGCTGGGTTCGACCACTGGAGGGAGGTGTTGTCATTATACTCCACGCGGCAGGTCAGGTTTGCCATTAGGCCCTCCGTCACGGTGACATTTTGAACCAGAGGATACTGACCACTGATACCTGCAACATGACACACCGAGAAAGAGGAGATGAAGATGATTTGGGAAAGAGAGAGACAGAAGTAGACAACACATTTATGAAGGCTTAAGTTGAAGGGGTGCATTGCTGTTAAAATGCATTGAATTCAGTTGAGGAATGATGAGTGAATAAATTCAAACATGTGCATCATATATGCATCTTAAAGCTTAGAAATATCTACAGAGCCTCACAGGAGAAATTTTTCCTCCAAAACCTTTTAAATTTTTCACTTTTGCAATCAGAAAATTTCTATGTACTCTATTAGGATGTTATGTGAAAGGCTAAGTAGTGTGTTATTGTGAGGTGCAATATGAAAGAATACATATTTTTGGCATTATTTTTACATACCGGTCTGGAATTGTGTTGTGTGCATTTGCAATCAACCCCCTGAGTTCATTATTTGTACAATCATCTTTAGCTGCAATTACAGCTGCTAGTCTCTCCCAGCTTTTGCACATTTAGAGAGTGCAATTGTTACCCATTATTATCTGCAAAAAATAGCTCATGCTTACTCACAATGAATAGAGATAATGTGTAAATATCAACCTTCAAGTCTTGCCACAGAACATCAACTAGATTTGGGTCTCGACTTTGACTGGGCCATTCCAACACACGGACATGCTTTCTTCTGAACCATATCATCGTCGCACTGTCTACGTATTCAGGGTCAATGTTCTATTGGAAGGTGAGCCATCATCCTAATCCAAAGGGTTTTGCAGCCCAGAGGAGAACTGCCCTACAGTTAGCGAAATCCACCTTTCCATTTACGCTGATCACTTCCCCCGTCTCTGAGGAATAAAAGCATCTCAACTGGATACGGCTGCTACCACCATGTTTCCCCGTAGGGACGGAGTAATCATGGTGATGTGCAGGGTAAGTTTTCCACCTCACATAGCATTTAATATGCATTAAATGCAATCAGATTTTATAAGTGAATCAAAAAAATTGTCGACCGAGTCTCTGACCAGTCTACCCTTTTCCTTGATCTTCATGATGTTTCTTCACTAATCTTCTAATATGTGAAGCTTGTGCAGAATAGATGCATTTATACTGAGGTAAGTATACAACTAGGTAGTCTCATTACTACTTAAGTTTTATCAGAAAGCTCTGGATGGTTTTGTCTCTAAAAATATAAATAATGTTGAATACAGATACTGCACATCACTTTTCTTCCTCTTGAAAAATTATGTAAAAATGTGTGTGTATCATTCGAGGGGAATGGTTTAGGGTGATAACCCTAAACCCTAAGTTAACTTAAGAAGAGATCAAAGCATAAGAATACTGCAGTTTATCTCTAGAACAGTTTAAAAAAGGTGCAAATTTGGCGTACATTTGGCTTATTTGGCTTTGGCTATAAAAAATAAATAATTAAAGGCTTAAGACCCTAATTACAAAGCAAACGCTCAGGGAGGCCGGTCAGTGATTATGGTGTGCTAAATTGGACCCAAATGTTGAACACACAGGGGGTGTTTAGCCAGAAGTATTGAAACCTTAGCTACAGTGAAAAGGACCAATTAAAAAGCTGTCCTCAGTGGACTTGAGCGGATGCTGATGTGTGTTAATGCGTGCATCCAGTGAGCGAAAAGCTGCCGGCAAGTCAAATTATACATTTCATCCGTGACCTCAAAGCTGAACCAAATTCGTTTTCAGTACCACGGACGAGGCGCTGTTGTGACTGGCTGTCAGCGGTTACCTTCTAGTTGTCAGGACCCTGGACAGCTCACAGAGTTGTCCGAGTCTGTGTACTTTGGTACGAGTATACATTTGTGAGCGGGAAACAAGTGAACAGTAATGATCATACATCTATCCCTGGTGCCATCCGCAGAGGTACGATGTTAAAAAAAAATTGTGAGAATGAAGGTTTTCAGGGGGAAGAAACTGAATGATGCACATGGAAAAAGAGATTCACTTTTGGAAGAAAAAAAAAATACTTCCAAAAAAGGCAGTTTTAAACTGATAATGAATGTCCCTGTATGAATCAGTATGATCTGCAATTTTTTCTGGTTTCTTCACAGAAGGTAATTTATTGCGCAGGTGAGATAAACTAACCCTCAAACTGTGTTTGCCTTCTGGGTTAGCGGGTGAGTCAAGCCCTATCAAAGAAGCCGTGGGGGAGGACAAGCAAGGAGGAGAGACGAAGAGGTGAAAGAAAGGAAAGAGAGGGAGAGGTAAGTCAAGGAGCATGGGTCATTTCCAGTGTTGATTAAGGCCTCCCGAGGTTAATCATGCGTGTGAGAGATAGAGAGGGAAGAAGAGATAAATGGAGGAAAAATGGATCTCAGCTATAGGAAGAATATGTTTTATTCATGGAAGTTTTGTATGAAGCATTATCTGTCAATTTAAAATACTTCTGCAACTGCCTGCATGTTTTTTTTTTGAAAACTTATCTTTAAATCACTTACCTTTTTTATATAATTTATCACTCATGCACTTGGATAACACAGTGATGGGTCTAATGCATTTTAGCTTCTTTTTGCTGGCCTCAAATGAAGTTAGTAGTTAACCTCTGTACTGAATAACAACATTAAGTGAGATTTTGAATGCAAAGAAAGTGTTTTGTAAAATACCACTGAAGCCCAGGGGACATGTAAGCATCTAAAATCAAACACCTAAAATCACAGGACAGTGGTCCGATTTGATCTGCTTTTTATTAACATAACCTATAGGGATTCAACTGGCACTGGAAAAATGTTGTGCATAATTTCAGGGAAATGGTTCTCTACTCAAAATGTTCCGTTTTAAATATATAACAGATACAAGAAATGAAAGAATGACTCGTCTTGTTCTCCCCACAGCACACCAGCAAACTCACCCTCACAATATGACTATTTGGCTGCAAATGTTCCCATCTCTCCTGCTGCTGTTTCATAGCCAGTGGTATTGAAGTTAGAAATGAGTCAGCACTAAAAGGTACACATGAACTCAGTTTTCAGCGTCGTCAAAGCTGGAACTGTATGGGTTTGACTGCATTAGAAAATCTTAAAATGTCCTGTCCAAATATTCAATTGAATATGTTTTTAGCTTTTAATGTTAATGAAGAACCTTTAATACCCAACCCTAACCAAACTGACTGTTTGGAATTCGCAGTCAAGTAAGGTGACCATTGATAAGAACTGAAATCAAATTTAATCCTGTGCTGTATAATATTTTATAGTATTGTTTTTATGCTGCTTATGGAATATGTTGGATATGGAAATATCACAGATAAGGAAAGGTTCCTCCTTGACAAGGAAATACACACAGGGAGTGTTTACAATTACTAATGTTAACTGTGCTAGCTGCTAATGGAAGATGGTAAAGACAAGTTAATAATATACTAATCTTTTCATTTTTTTTTAAATATATTGGTAAAACCCACAATACACTGAATGCTTTATAACACGTTGTGACATCATCAACATGTTATAAATATTATAAATATGAATAACAATAGCCACTACCAACAGGAAAGCTGGAATAATATATTGTTAATTATAGAGTCAAAATCAGAAGCAGCATGTGAATAGTAGTAATCTGCCAAACTTTTAATCTTCTTGAAGTGTACATAATTTAGTTTTTCTGTAAGAGTTTTCCACTGGTCCATCTGTAAAGTCAACTATTGTCGCTGCAGTATACGTGGCAGTACTTAAAAGAGGAGTTTCTGGTCAACTAAAAGGTTCCTGAAAGCTTTTGACTACATTACATTTATAATGTAATTAGTAAGAATCAGGAACAAAGTGCTTTGCTAAATCTTCTTTCAATCCCCCCTCCTTCCTATTTCCCCCCCTTTGGCCCCTGGACAAAAAAAAA